TTACAGTTGTGATGACCGATTAGAGCTGACATCTACGATTTTCAGCAAAAACTGGGTTTTTCTGTTGTAGTCAAGGTAATTTAGTAACAACGACAGCTATACGGCCGTGTACATCTGTTTCGATTTTCAGACACTCTCCTGTCTGTTAAAGCGTCACCAGAAGGAACAGAAGCTGCCGCTAAGTTCCCAATCCTGACCGCTAACCTAATCGAGGCTAACAGGTAAGACGACGAAACTCAAGGACGAAATGTTGATCCAACAAGGGGTGTGTCAGGCCAGAGCCGTTTCAACGTGCCGTGCCATCAGACACGACGAGTGTGAAAACAGGGAGCGACATGTTTTGCTCACACTGGCTCCCTCACCCTGCCCGTCTCCTGGGAAAAAGTCTCCTTTTTGACAGGGAAGAACAGAAGGACCGACGCCCGAACGAACAGCCGTTGCTATGTTATTCTTACTAGACTATAGAAGGGTCAGAATCAGCTTAGGAGTAGTGGTTAGCTCAGGAGTGGAGGTAGGTTAGTTAGCTAATAGAGAGCGGACAAGACGGGTCTAGGTCGATCCTCAGTGTGCCAAGAGCAGCTGTGATTAATTGGAACGCTTAACTATCTCTTAGATAGAGGTCGTGGGGGATAAAAGGGTGTCGTGTGCACTAACCCAAACTGGCCATCGAACACGATCGGCGGTAGAAGAAAAAAACTAAGGCCTTAGTGGGATGTTGCGTGCAAATGCTGCTGGCATTGTAGACGTTATCCTTACTGTAGGCCACCATAGACTTTTCTAGGCTACATAACCGTCGTAGATGTCGTTTTATACTTCATTGAACGAAAGCGACGCTCTGTGGTCTTGGTTGAAGGGATTATTGGCTAATTGTTACACATACATGCTCGCAGAACATATCTCTCTTTCAATAGAGGATGACACGACTTGCCAGAGCACACTGGAGCGTGTCACAGGCAGGGAAACGTTTGGTTTTTTGTTCGTCTCGGCAGCTCTTCTTGGATTTGGCTTGTCAATCAAGGGCGTAACTGGCAATTTCTTTTTCATTAAAATTAGTTCTCTCGCCTACTATAACAACAATCGAGCCTTCGGGAGACCGAGAATCCATAATCATAGTTTACAATATATCGAATCTGTGTGAGTTAATGATAAATGATTAGACTTCCCAGGTACCAGTCTTTGCTCTTGGTGTGCAGTTACTTCGCTTTAAAGAACTTCGATAAGTATATATATTATAGTAGGACTATCAGTCACACAATAGGTGGCACTGACTGTAAATATATTCAAGGGCAAAATTTGCTAGAGACAGCTCTAATATAGGAAAACGGTTTGCTGTGTAGTAATTTATGCTTTGCGTAATATGTTTTGCCTGCCGGTATAGAGACATAAGCAGGCGCAACGTCCAAGTCCAGAGTCGTCTCGCTCATTCAAACTGGATGTAAATGCGACAGAGAAGATACTCTCCTCGGCACCTCTTTGCTCTTTTGCTTTGCTGCCATTGTTTTGTTAGCAGTCTCTGCCTAAGGCACTAGGTAATATTCATGCGTCTCAGGTGCGCAATGGTTGCCAATGGATGTGCTACGAAGACAGACGTTCAGCTGTTTCTTGTAATGGTACACATCCGTAGACGAATCCCCAGACTGAAGGGTACCCATTAGTTCATTTTTTATTTGGGGCTCTAGGTGGAAGAGAGGCATAAGTTGGCACTAACCTACGACAAAATCATACCTATTCGCTAGCGTTGAGCTTTGTTCGTATCTGAGCTATGATTGCGGAATTCTGTACCTCCAAAAGCCAGTCAGACTATATATATGTGGGGATATATGTTGAATTCTCTGACTTTGTGGTTCTGATCAGTTCAACCAGCGTTACTTAAAGTAACATACGTCCACCTCCAATCAGTTTCCAAAAACTCAAAGCTTTGTTTGCGCGCTACTAAAGCCGGAAGTGCAAGAACTACACTCTAACAACGCCAGTCTTTCTGTCTCTAAAGTCTTTTATACGCTAGGACACTTTGATACAAAAACGTCGTATATAGTAACCGGGTAATATTAGTTATTAACCTCTGTTACATTGGGCACTTCGTGCGGTGAGAGGACTGTAATCTAACATAATTTACTTCGCAGTAACGCTGACATGACGATGAAAAACACGACCATTCGAAGACGATTTCACTCAATTGCAAACAGAACTTCTGAGCAAATTCGCTTAAATCATCTACATTTACATGTATCTCATACCGTTACTAGACTTTGACCGAAATGTTCTGCTTTAGCCACTGGCTATTCGCTTGTTTTGTTACTCACTGAATTTTCTTTCATTTTTTTGCATGTATTGCGGCCAATATACACAGAGCACGATGTCATTTTCTAAGGATGACGTTACCTGTTTATAGATCAGGATATTAGACAAAGGTGACCGGAAATAATAATCAGCCAATGTAGCTTAAAAATCGGCACCAACTCAACAAGCATACGATTGCACTAAATAAACTTACAAATTCGTGTGGAGTGCACATGTCTCTGATGAAGGATAGCCTTTTAATCAAGATATCTTATTAAATAATGTGCTAATTCAGCTTACTTGACAAGGTACCTTTGGATTTCAATATAATATCATAGAATGAATTGAGCCCAGGTTTATTCGATTCAGTGGCACCGTAGTAATCCCGATGTAGAGAAGGTTTACCGATTTGTTCGTTCTCTGAGCCGCTATTCATCGGAGTATCAAAACAATACAAGGTTTTCGCGGGCGGGCACCGAACCTGTTTTGAGTGGTTAACAGCGATGTTATCATCTGTCGGTGACAAGCAAGAACGACTTTCTGACAAGAGTCACCACAAACGCTTGTGATAGGGGTACTTTGCATGGAAGATGTCTTTGTCATGCCTCGTTGAAGGTATGCTCTTTGTATACGTTTACATGCACGGTAAACATGCATATGTTTGGAGACAGAATAGGGTTGCCTCAATATGAACTGAATAAGGGAACTTGGGAGAAAACTTCAACCATTAGCTTGAGCCCTGACGAAAGACGAATTTCAACTAAAAAAAGGAAGGGGAGCAGACAAGAAACAATTACAACTAATCATCGCCGATCTTAAATCAAATAGTATTGATCGATGCATAAATGCTTTGGACTACCCCCAAAGGTTTCTGTAACAAAAAAAAATATTCTCCAATACGATGCATGTACTACGCGAAGTATTCAGGTTGATTGTTTCGGTTTTAAAGGGATACAAAGTTTGTCAATACTGGACACCTACGGCCTGAATTTTCGACTCCACTCATGAATGATGATTTCGTAAAACATTAAACTATGCGGTAATTTGTATAATCAGGCTATTTAGGTAGTTATACAAATGTTTTACACCCGCACGCGTAAGGCAAAGCTCTTCCCTACAGCACAAAAAGAGATTTCCATATACAGGGGAAAGATGCTAGCTGATCCGACAGTACATTAATAGAAAAATACAAATGAATCATAGACGTTTTTCTTATTGTTTTTCGTTATTTAAAAATGCCTCTACCTTACTATGAAACTGTAGTTTATTTTAAATCTACAAGCAATTCCACCAAAATAAGTGCATATTTTCCCTTATACCCAAATAGACAGATATGTGTAATATCTAGTGTGTATACATATACACTGATCTTATAATGGGTGTGCAAACAAAAGAATCAAAACAAATGACGTGAAACCAAACTAGCCAAAAAAAATCGGTCAACTAAGTTTTTTTTTAGGATGACGACTTTTTTGGATCTTCAGTGTTCCACTGCGAAGTGCTCCCTAACGCACTTCGGCCATAGCAGTACCAATCATGACCTCGTAACAACGTTATATTAGAGAATACCAATTTCAACAGACATTTAAGAACAACTACCGCAATAACGTCATGTAAACGCTTTAGGTCCGTTAGCAGGACAACTGTTCTATCCTAGGAAAATGTACGACTAAAAACTGTTACCGAGGAAATCATACAATGTATGCCGCAAATTACGAAAGCAAAAGTAATTAGTTTGCATTAATAACAACTTAGTCGTATTTAAAATAATCTTACCTATGCATCGTTAAAAAAATACTCTTCCATTGAGATAGGGAGGAAACATTGAAAGGAATCCCAACGCTGAACAACACCAATTGTTTAGTAAACAATTGTTTTTATCAACAAATTATATCTCGCTATTATATATCATTTGAATATTAGAACTTTATAATCAGTAAAATAGTATTGGCGTGAATGGGCTGGGCCACCAGTTGTGTTTAAATCCATAAAAACGCGCTGTTTTTACAATTTGCAAGAATCTTTCCTTTTTTTAACATCTCAACATCGCCGCTATACGACCACCATTTCAGATCGTCCCCTCACCATGCAGCAGCCACTTTCTGCTTTGGGTAAAAATGTACATGTACGAGAATATCGGTACGCAAGCAGAGTGTTGTATTAGATGTCCACACAAGATAGCTCATAAAAACAGTCATATGGAAGTGTCTTCCTGTTGCGTTCTTTTTCTTCTCGTCATCGTACGAGCTCATAAGACCAATGTAATTCCCCAGGTTGACATGTCAATATAAGATACTGTTACATCGTATAAAGAACGCATGTTTTTCTGTGTCTGCCCATAACAACAACAATATCGTGTAGTAATCAGGATTTTCGCCTTGTCGTCCTACTCGGGTAGCGCCTCTCTGAAGACGTATGATATATTGTTGGCGGCAGTTTGATAGGTTTTTCGCTTCTGTACCAAGCTGCAAGCACACGAAACATCTATTGTGTGATTAATGGGTTCTATTTCGGTAGGAACAAATAGACAAGTTAAGTTCTAGCTGAAACGACGTCAGAATTAAGGTAGGCACAACAATACCTTCAACATGGTCAAGGCAAGCACGATGTATTGATTGATGCACGCATTCACGTGCACCTGACATAAGACGTGAACACGCGCTGGCCACAGCTGGCGCCGAGTTGCCCCGAACCGATGGCAATCAGCACGCGTGTGATACTATGCGCAATTTAAACAACTTCTGTAGTGTAAAGTAAAAACATAGCTTAACTTGGACCTAATCGATACTAGGTTTATTAAAAACGAACGTGTAGTGAATATGTGTGCCGCAAGGAATAACGCTATTGAACCGTTAACTACTTCGCTTAATACAACCCTCGCAGTAGAAGAAATTATAGCAGATGCTATAAAGAAGTTTCGATCGGTAGCGCCTTCTATTTTTACAGTTCTTTGTAGCACTTTTAGAGTGGGGAGTGTCCTCGAGCCTGACCTTTTTTTCGCAGGCTTTGACCATCCGAAACAGCCCACTGAAAGCTCTAGTCATCAAACCGTCCACTTGTACCGAGGCATTTAAATTCCCTCCAGAATTAGGTTTCACGTAGTTATATATTTTCAAAGTTAGTCGTTCTGAATAAACGTAACTTTGCGTTACTTTGCCGTATGACTACTATGAATGATGAGCGTCGGACTAGCAAGATGGACAATATGCTAGACCCACTGCTACGACGTCCCGGGTTTGATCTCAGATTGATCAAGGTTAACATGCTCTTACGTTTGATTATTATTGCTCTCAATGTTGTATGTTCAAGGTTAGTTCTTTGCGATCATTGCGCATTGCAAGAGTATAAGTTCTAAAAATTTCAACGCCCCCCCCCCAACTCTGAAAAGGTTACATCGGGATTAGACCGCCAATCTATATCAAGTGTGGCCTTTATAATCTAATATTTTTCTAATTAAAACAAATTAATTAAGGCCCAACGCATTGCTAAAGTGATTTTATATAGTCGGGTTCACATATTGGATACTTTTATGTAATTAAACATCACACATTAATGACCAAGCACACTTCTCGAATAGTAAAGAAAACCCCTGCATTGAACACGATATCAGGGTAGGTAATTTTGAAAAACATATAACACATGAGTGTAAGCGATTGCATACTTACAGATGATAAACATGGACACGCAGTGCATAACAAGGGAGCAGTTCTATAACAAATGACTGTTGAATTAAAAATCGTTCAATTCCGGTTTTATGGTTTTTGGCACCAGAACCAGAAACCTCTGGTGTTTAGCGGCTCCACCAAAAAAATGCCACAGGCGTTTTTGTTTCAACGCTAGCAGTAGTTACTTAAGCCCTAAATTTTTAAAATATTGTCTTTTTTTCTATAGGACAATTTTAGGTCTGAAGAATCTCAATTGTCGCCAAAATACGCCCTGCCCCAGTTTTGTGGTGAAAGACTTCACCATTTGACTGGAACAGATGTTTTCAAATCGTCAACGGGTCATCTAGTAACAGAAGAAAGTACTTCGGGCCTCAGCATTTCAAATAAAACATCGACAGCCATTTCGGAGAACCCTTCATTGATTTCGTCAGCATCAATTGAGGACAAATTGGAAATTGTCAACGGGAGAAAACTGAATCGAAAAGTTATTGGTAACTTAGATAGCGCTCACAATTTAACTCACTCAAACTATTTCGGCGAACCATATCATTTACCAGTACAACTCAATTCAACGGAGATATTTCATTCTGTGCAAAAGATATCTTTTGTTGACGGCGACGTGCAACAGAAAGAATACTGTTCCAACCACGCTTTACGAACATTTCCTGCAAGGCTGAAAGCGAAGGCCTACGTTTCGGGGGCATCAAAGAACAAAAAAGATAAGGACAAACACAGCGTGAGTATGCAGATATACGAAATACACAGTCATGCATGGATGGTTTTTCAGAACTCCTATTTTTTAATAGCTAGACTCTACTTTGTCTAAGTGCAGCAAGCTAAAGAATATGGGAGCAGAACTGGGTTAATTCAAAAATAACTTTCAAGCCGAATAAATCAAATAAGAGTGTACAAGTGATATTAAATCAACTGCCAGCTTGAGACGATCTCAAGTATGGAACTGATCAAATAGACGAGTTGTTACTGATAATTAAGTAGCTACTATTGAAGGCTTTGTGTTATCTTATGTATCCAGGCTAAAAATGTTTTGCTTTTTCAGGTGAAGGCGCAGCTTCCGGCTTACAACATAGACCTACCATATTTCCTCGGCAACATCGTCCCAGGCCTCGCGACACAATTTAACCTTGCTATCAATCCTAGTTTGGACGCTAAGCCAGATACTGTTAGGTCGTTTCTGAACAGGCAACCAATTGAGCTGTGTACGGTCACCTTGCAGGACCAAAATGAACGTGAACTGCAGATCACAATTACTGCCCCTTTACATGCACGAGGAGAGGTCAGAGTTGAGCTAGAGTTTTGCTCCGGATTAATATTAAAAATGACTGCCTTATGCATACTTCCTCTTCTGAAACTTCCTGATCTAATTGTGGCTCCCCCGGGAATTCCAAGCGAAATAAGGATTAAGTCCTTGGTTCCGTTCACACAACCGGTGAGATTACAGCTGCATTCATCTATAATGGCATCGAAATATGCAACTCTGATGCCGCACTGCGATTATCTAACGTTAACGATAACGCCCAACGAAGGTGACTCTACTTTCAAACTTGGCATACTGAACGAAGCTAATAAAGTGATCTCATTAAAAACGCGTATCGAGACTCGCTTTCCTCAGATCTCTCTTCGTTATGAAGAAGCAAAAAATACTCCTGTGCTAATTTTAGTTGTCAGAAATGACGAATCGTTCCCGATTGAGGTGTCTCTAAAAGATGATTTCGGTGGGCTAATCTATACGCAGGAGGTGAAGGTCGGTAAGCACGAAGAGGCACCAGTCGAAGTACGTAGAGGTTACATTCGTTACAATCAGACAAAACCTGTCATAGCGACGTTTAGTGTAACGTTACTATCTCCAACACGAATCGAACAAACCATAACATCGTGCCCTGTTAAGCTCGCGCCTACCGGCGCAGATCTCAGGCCAGATATAGATTGTGTGGTATGGCTCGCGGAAAAGGAGCTCATATTTACAATGTTCCACATGGACGAACGTGATCAAAGGAAGCCTTCGTCGTGGAAAGACGTCCTTAGGATTTCCGCCTGCCATCGAATCTCGGACTTTGTTCAGGTTATCATCTACCTATATTTATTTGCAATAATTAAGCTCGTATCTCACCTCGGCGCTGCTATTTGCAGCGGTGGTGTCGGCAAGGGCATTCGCTAAGATTGTCTCGACTCAAGTGTGTTTCCTATTCGAAAATAACGCGAATATATTTTTATCACGGGTGACTCGTATTTGTTTCGTAACCGTCTTAAGTGGCACCCGGTGAGAGATATAGTTAATAATAGCTATCACTAGATCATGAATAGATGATTGAAGAAATAGTTTGAATTGTACTCACTATCCGACTGTTCTGTATAAAATTATTCTGTTGAGTTCTGCAGATCACAAAAGAACGAGATGACCCAACTAAAGTCGTGCTGCGCATCTCTAGACCGCCCAGGTTGGCTGTTGGGCGGTTGATTTTTTATCGACGCAAGGATGGACCAAGGGCTTTCCCATATGGATTCCGCTATGCAATTCTACCGCCTGAGAAACCGTTTCTGATTTGGGACTCTGCTTCGGCGAATGCCACTTCACGTGTATATCAATTGCCCCCCGATGGAAAAGTAACTGGTTGCTTATTTCTAGCAGTTAACAAGTTTTCTTATCGATTTCTTAAGAAATAATTATTAATAGTAATTATTGGTAATCAATTAGATGATTTGCTATATCTCAATAATAATCATTATTATACTGATCCGTATTGTACATATAAGTAAGACTATAGCAAGCAAATAATTGTTACGTTCCACAAAAACGTATTCTTGCAGGTTCGCGTGTCAAATGTAGGTAGATGCGCCGTATTTGTTGTAATCAGCAATGAAGCCTGTGATCGGGGTCGAATTATTGCCCCTGGTGTAACCGCCATACTCTTCCTTCAACGACCTTCTCGGATTATCTACGGATTAGAGTGCTGGCGTAGCCTTGTACGCTATCGGACAGCTCCTTATTACGAGGGAATTCAGGCAGAAATCGCTAGCGAAGACCTGCCGCTTGGCTTCGAGCCCCAATATTTAATGGCAGATTTTTATGAGGAGTCCGAGGAGTCAATAGTCGACAAAATTATAGCCGAAAAGGTAGTCTCTGTTAAATGGCATTCGATCAAGGGATATTGGTTAGCCTGGGTCTTCAATTGCATTAATTATTGGATGTCCAACACGGGTAGAAAGTAATTTTATCTTGGGCCAACAACTCCAACTTATTCTAAATTCCCATTAAACTTTAAGGCACAATTTTAACCTACTACTTTGGTAAGTGACAGTTATCTAATTGTTAGATACATCACATCGGCTTTTTGTGCACTTGTTCTTCTAAAATAGTCTTTTCTTGTTTTATCTAGATTCCAGATGATTTCGACACACTTTTGAGTCTTTACCGTCTGTTTATGTCAACTGTTGAAGAAATTCATATGAAGAATTGTGAGTCGGATGCAAGCACTTTCGTTGCCCCCACGTCACCAGTCTCATGAAATAAAGTTTAGGTCCGTCAATCCCGTACATAAGCCCTCTTGTACCGGATACAGAGCAGGCTAACGAAAACGTTATAAATAAATGCAATAGTTTTGTTATTTATTGAATTGAATGTACTGTGATTCATGTCGATTTCGCACGTACTTACGTTTTTTCACCTTGTGTATAATAACGTCCGGCGTTATTGTTAGGAGGGGTGGTTCCCTACCAGCTCCCGAAAATATTATGATATAAGTTTGTAGTTCGAAATAGTACGTATTAAAAAATGACGTGCCTAATTCAGCTATTGTCATTTTCTATGAAATATTAGACTGCCCAAGCAAATGGCCTGAAACAACTTTCTCTCTTATAGTAATAACAACTTCAACGTGCTTTAAGCCCGACTATGTGGCCACTCTATAATCACCTAACTTCCACGTGCCTTAAATCCAGCTCTGTGGCCACTCCATAATTGCCGCCTCATCCTTTCTTGTCATAATAATAAAGGTTTTTCCAGCTTCGCCAATACCGTGGCCACCGCTGCCTCCATGCCAACTTTCAATGCCCCCCATCCTGCACAACCTCTTACAAAGCAGGACCACTCATCATATTCCTGATTATAAGCTGTGGCTCATGACAGCAGCACTTCCAAATTTGCCTAGACGCAACACGTAGAGAATTGTTAATGCCCCCGCGTACGATTGTCGTGCGCTTATATACGATATTTCTGCTAACTTAAAACTCTAATTAACATCACAAAGTATTGTCTAACTAACTTTCGTTAGGAATAGAAAAGGAACTGTTGTTTAATGACGCCCAGCGCGGCAAATGACGTCAATGAAAGTACGGCTAGTATGAATTGTCGTGTATCCAACTCAATTTAGCTGCGTGTCTATTACGTGAAACAGGTTATTAATACTTAACTTATCAAATATTCAATAGCGGTTTTAGGACAGCAAAAACAAAACGTGATACCACGCACTTTTTTAATCTGATTTTATCTATTCCCAGAACTTCGGCCCTAGTATGTCACACCGCTGCTTTGCTCAACTCTATGACCGAAACCGCTGTCGGGACATTTAATTCACGATAACATGGTACTAAATTGCTCATCAACTTACTTTCATATGCGGGCCGCCTCGAAACTATTCGCTAATTCGACGGAACGCCATGGAGCACCAGATGTGTGCTGTTTCTCCTAGAAAAACGTCTGCCATGCGTCACCTAAGGACAAGGTCATCGTTTTGTACAGACAAGGATCATTTGCCTGCGGGTAATCACACATGGTGAAAATTGCCATTATCTAGTCACGACATATTGGGCTACTACTATAAGCGTATTCTTACGACAGTGGGTTAATTCAAGGTGCCCGCTTAAATGTTGCCTATCGGCAGATGTCACGCGTCCGCTACAGACCACAGGAGAAAAGAATCATCCATCAATCGCCGTACAACTCATGTGTTGGCAATGCTTAGCATAGTAAATGTGTATTATTTGCTTCCTTAACATTTATTAACGTTTGACATGCGATCGGGTAATACTTACATGTCCCTCACGAACCTCAATTTCCTTTTCGAAGAAGTAAAACTTAAATCTTCTATTATATTCAACATATAAACGACAGCTTTTGTCGTGTTTCTAGCGCCATATACACCATCGCGTTATCTTCCACGGCAAAGGCTGGCCGGCTTTTTAATGGACGTCAAGCCTTCTCCATAGTCGAACCTTTAGAATTGGTCTCACGATCTCCAAACTCTTATCCAGTGTCTTTCAGCCGTCGTAATCGCTCTCGAAATCTCCGATAACAATACAACCACAATAAGAAACCCTGCTAGGACCGTAACTGGGCTGAACTTCACAATTATCAAATGAGTTGTTTTCGGCCTAGCGTAGAATAGAACTGTTAGTAGGTCGTCTTTCTTAGAAGTATTCGATAAATAGTCTGTATCAATTGTGACTTTCAATAATTCGGTAAGGTTACAGCGCAATGGCAAATTAACTACTGCGTTTTTTTTTAAGCAAACTATATTGGTCAGATAATAAACAATCTATCTGAACGACTGGCTTCAGGCAAAAATTAACATTTAACTTACAAGAGTAGAAACACTCTATTTGTTCAAGATGCAGCATTGCAAGCATGCGCTTCAGAACTTAGATCAGCAACTTCGAGTCGAACAGTGTAGAAGTGAGCCAAGAAGAAGATGCACTAAGTAACTAGTACCAGCGTTGAAATTGTTCGGGCCATAGGCCAATAACGTGCACCTATCGACGGATGTGGACGTCCACTGCACAGTCTCATTTCGTTACCTTTAATGGTCCAAAGACTACAATATAGCGAGTGGCTCTAAAGCAGTCATTTTCGGCAGTGTCAAGCAAATGGTTCGTTTCAATTGAGAAAGGTCTCAGAGATCAGATCTCATGTTCTTCATACATTACGAAATACATCAACATTATACACGGCCTGTCAAGAGGTGGAAATTGTAGCCGATAAATTGTTAGACATCACCGGCGTAAAGATATACGACAATTGCTGACTGCCTGTTATATTCCAGTCATATGAGGAATGAAGGGCTGCATAAACTTGACGACAGTCATCGTCATAGCGATTCTCGCAGTGTCTACGTTTCTTCCCCTGAGCTTTTGGGCTACTGAACTGGCTTGGTTATAGGAGCTTACGGAGCATCGGCCGAATAAAACTATAGTTTTTGTTACGGCGCAGACAGAACCTTCACTTTCACGAAAACTGGATGAAGTTACGGAGCCTGAAGGACGAGTCTCGGAAATAATAAGCTATCTCTACGAAGATTCTACGAGGCGGTTAAAAAATGAGAAATGCGGAGATGGTCATACAGGAAGAAAAACGATTTTTTGAATTTAAGCATCCGCATAGAGTATTTACGGAGATAATTGGCACAAACAAAAACCTCTGTGCTGATAAATGCGTACGCAAGCTACAAATCCTTTTAATGCAGGGAGGAAGCGATAAATACGAAAGCAGCAAAGTAACCCAAAACTTAGACGCAGATAATATAAAACCTATAAACTAAAATGTATAGTAGCCCAAAAACTAGCGGAAATAGCAGAAATGTGTTTTAGATGAGAAAAAAACAACATAATAGCTATCAACTATACAAGTGGCAGAGACACACATGTGGTGGGTATGTGGCCACGAACATGAGCGCGCACCTTATGGCTTAAGTGGGCTGAGCACTGAGAAACTTATGTAACTGCGACGCACTCCTAGCCGCGGATCCGGTTAATGAAAATCCCTCCAGAAGGTTAAACTGCTAGACTAAAAGTTACAAAAGTCGTTAGTACGGCTATTAATTAAGGAATCTGGACTACCCGCACTGTCGCTTCGTCTCCATTGAGCCACTTATCATCTTAAACGGCTGCCGCCCACTAACCATGTAAAGATTTACCAATAGAGCAAGAGGAAACCCAAAGCTGACAGAAATGTTTACCAAAGAGTAAACTTCAAGTAAGATGCAGGAAAAAACTGTCATGTAACCGATTTACTAATAACTATATCTAACTTTCATCCACACTGCACGAGGTTTTCATATGCAGAATGTTGGATAAATCTAAATTTTTTTTTCCTATAACGAATCGTAACGCATTGTACATTACGGCAAATTGTGGATCATATAGGGATTAATTTCGAAATTATACCGTTCCTACTTACCGATCCCATAGTAACGCAAAAGCGTGTACCCTGTCTGTCGCTAATGGTCGCTGGGCAAATTTTCACATAATATATCACCCAACAATGCACTCCGAGATCTGCTGGATTGTATCAATAATGCACAAAGCTGCATGTCAGGAGAATCTGTCAGTAAAGAATGGTATTTTAGCGTGTCAATAAACCAAAATAAAATATAAGCAAATGTAGTAAGGCTGATTGGGAATGTACGGGAAGTTGCCACCAATAAGGTAGCCATAAAACGGAAACCTAAGATCAATACGCTACTTTAATTGTATAGCGACAATTTCTGTGTAATCTCAAGAAAGTTAAACTCCACACCCTATCAGAAAATACGGAAAACGAAAAAAATACAAAAGCAAACGTCATGAGGCTTCGACGATGCAAGTAGATTAAAGTCGAAAGCTCATAATTTAGCTGTAGCCCGAAATAATAGCCCGAATAATTATCTCCATGTTAAATTGAGGAGTTTTTTCAAAAGGCGATTTCATGGGCCTTTTGACGCGCAAAGCCAAAACCCAGTAGCACCCAGTGTAATGTCAGCCCTGACCCCGACGGTTGGTATTGGTTTTGCCTGGTATTTGTCTTATTGCAACTCGGTTCCTTGGTCTAAAAAGCTTGTCAAAGACACCGGCAACTTCCCTCTACCCAGAAAATCTCAAGAAGTTGTTGTCACGAAGAATGTGTTACAAATAAAGATCCAGCTAATCGGCTTGTGTCGCTGCAGATAACGCTTTCATAATTTAGACTAATACATCATATGGCACTAGGTGCTACTATTTACAGGTTTTCCGAAAGGACACTAGAAATGCTGCTGGACGACTCAGATCTGTCAATAATTCGCATGCCCAAGGCCTGTTATATTCTCTGAAACGAAGAGATAATATTCGACTTTGCAAGTAAATCTTCTCCCGCAAAATGAACAAAATTCTCATTAGGTAGAAACATTCATCAATCGGCGGGCGGTTGATTCGTGTTCGTGAAGATTTCTCAATGTAGCTGACAAAAAGATCTTGCCAACCCAGAGGCTCTGCTTTGGCTGATTTTTTTGGTAGGTGAAATACTTAGCAGAATCGACGCTTTCCTTCATCCAGTAAAGATCTCATCATCTTCCCCGTAACGTGCTTACTACATTTTAGAAAATGGATGTAGGTGTAAATACTGTAGTTACAAACAGACTTGTAACATATCTAATCTTTTCAGCAGTGTACCGGAATATGCAGTAATGAAAGCGACCGAACTGTTAATAGTTTAACAACGCAGTAGTGAATGTCAATAAACACATACAATCTACAATTAAAACATCAGCAATAATAGCCCACATAGTCTTAATTCATCCGTTTTACAGTCTAGTTACTGGTTTCTTTTTTTACGGTGCAGGTTTTAGCACTGAGCAAGCTTTTACTCGGGGCCATATGTTAGCACAGTAATTAACAACTGCCATTACGAGTAACGGTTTCAACTGAACTGTTTCCCAGAAATTCACCACCGGCCTAGAACATTTCCTGCATCTTGCATACGAATCAGCTTAAGCACAAGCTACAGGT